TGAGACACAAGCTCCGATCCTATGAAAGTGACAGTCATATTCATCACTGATTACACTATCACAAGTGTTCCTCCTCATTTCTCTCAGCTATACCATCATTCCCCCCTCACGAAGTCAGGGCAGAGGGATGATGTTGGTAATCCCCAATGTGTCTTCCTCAACATCCCGGACATCTCAGAGCAGGACCGGGGACAGGGAGGAAGAAGAAGAGATTAACAACAAAGAGAAGGTACTATGTCCTGGCATTAGAGTCAGAAAACCCTGGGTCTGACTTCCAGTTGTTCCACTTTCTATTAGTGACATTAAGCAATTTCTTCAGCTTCTATGAACCCATTTTATCACGAGTAAAATATGTGTAAGACCTGTTTCTTAGGAATTGTATGAAAAACCAACAAGCTCAGTGAGACATAAAAGACATTATATGTAGTTCCTCTCTCTTTTTATTGAGAAAGGCTGTAACAGAGGCCATATGCAAAAATGACGTACCACCAGCAAAAGGTGCCCAAGCCTTGACTAAGGACAACTGGGCAAAGGTTATTCTACCTTTAAAACTTTTAATAATGCTTTAATCCTGTAGAAGCTATTACGGATTGTCCACCACTCAATTCTTCCATATTTGATCATCATGCTTTCCATTATACGTGTTGAAGTTGCCCATCAAATATTAATTTGTTTGACCTCCACTTTTAAATTTCTCCTTGTAGGGGTAAGAATCAGTACTTTGGACTTACTTTTTGAAAAAGGTTAAAAAAAAAAAAATCAATTCCTGGTAAGAGCCCTGAAAAGTTTCTGCCTTCTTTATAACTCCTCAGCTTCCCTGACACTGCTACCCTGGCTATTTCTCACCAGCCTAACAGCTCCTTCTCACTTCCCTTTGTTAGTGTCTCCTTAACCTCTAACAAACCTTTATGTATTCTCTATGCCTAATCCCAGACCCCATTTCTTTTCTGTTATCTACCCACTCTCCCGAAGTCATTTCAAGTCCATGACTTTAGACACTCTCTCTCTCTATACACACACATTGTATTAAATATACACATGTATATACACACGTACATATATACACATGCATGCGTACATACGTGTGTGTGTATATATAGATTTCCATTATACGTGAAGTTGCCTATCAAATATTAGTTTGACCTCCACTTTTAAATTTATATATAGATATCTATAGATATTTATATAGATATAGATATATATAACATATATTTACATAGATATAACATACATTCTGCCCTCCTCGCTCAAAATGACTCTTGGACTAAGATGTCTTATAAACTACTACTCAAACACAATTCCTCCTTTCCCCTCTCAAATCTAGTCCTCCTCCTGTACTCACCATCTCAGTTGTAGCACCGTCTATTCAGTTGTTCGTCCAAAACCTGGGAATCAGCTCCTCTTTCACTGCCACAACCAATCCACCTGCATGCGATTCATTCTGCCACCAGCTCTTATTATCTGTAACTCAGTAACAGCTTGGGTCTCCCTGCTTCCATTGTTGCTCCTGCCAATCCATTCTTTATCCAGCAGCCAGAGATGGTGTAACAAAACAGATCATGTTGCTACCTCATGAAAAATCCTTCAATAACTTGCCACTACCTTTATAACAACATCTTCTCCTGGCCTCCTATAGTTCTTATAGTTCTTTGGACATACCACTCTCTCCTCTCACTGTATTTACATACACTGTTTCTTTGGCCTGGAATGCTGTTCTGCCCTATCAACTTATCCTATAGGTTTTGGCTTCAGTGTCACATTTCTTGAAAAAGGCCTCCCCAATCCAAATTAAAATTAGGTCTCTTTATATCCTTACTAGTATCCTACACTTTCCTCACATAGCCCTGAAAATAAAGCTTGTAACTATCTTACTTGTGCAACCATTTGGTTAAGGTATATCCAAACAAAGTATATGTTTTGCTAACCACTCCATTATCCCACAGTACCAAGAGCCATGTGGCCAACACTTAAGAAACTCCTCTCTCCAGTAAAAATTTGACAAATGGAAAACTCATGAGTCCTGGCTCTACAATGGCTGCATAAGACACCATGGGAGTGCACTCTTCCACTTCATCTGGATTTTCAGGGAAAAAACTTTAAAGTCACAGTGGTGGGTAAAGAAAAGAATTCAAGTAGAAGAAAGACTATATAGTCCTTTCCCCTAACAGGTTTCTAGAGTGCTTGTCTTTTACTTCTTTTGTTCTTTTATAAAACCTAGTACAGAGTTAGATCCAGTTAAGGTGGAAACTGAAGCACTTAGTGATCAAAGTAGACTGTGCGACATCAATCAAGTGCTAGAATTAAATGCTACAAAATTCTAAATACTATGATTCACTGAGGGCTAGAAGCATTAGAATAGGTTTTATGGAGTTAAAAGTAAATATAGACAGGGTGAGGAACAACTTTTGGGGATCTAGTCAAACTACGCTAGAACCTCTCCTGCCCTCCTTCAACAGCACTATAGTCAGATCTGTACTCCTTAAAATGACATGTTTCTTCAGTCCATTTGCGAAATTCTAAACAAAATTATTTTCTATATATAGAATTTCTATATGCGAAATTCTAAACAAAATTATTTTCTATTTTCTATGCTTACTCTAATAAACCTTTTTAACTGATCATAAAGGGCCCAAGTGGCAGAAGGTAAAAAAAAAAAAAAAAACTACAAAGAATTCATTACACTACCTGTTGCATAAATGGAGCTATGAACATAACATTTATACACTACATTTATCATGTAGGAATTAAGAGAATCTAAATTGAAACCCTAGAGTTTGCGTACTTTCTGAAAGGCCAACATAGATCAAAATAACATGGATCGAACTAGAGAGGGTATTATGCTAAGCGAAATAAGTCAATCATAGACAAGTATCATATGATCTCACTGATATGAGGAATTTGAGAAACAAGACAGAAGATCATAGGGGAAGGGAGGGAAAAATGAAACAAGACGAAACCAGAGAGGGAGACAAACCATAAGAGACTCTTAATCTCAGGAAACAAACTGAGGGTTGCTGGAGTGGACGGTGGTGGGAGGGATGGGGTTGCTGGGTGATGGACATTGGGGAGGGTATGTGCTATGGTGAGCACTGAATTGTGTAAGACTGATGAATCACAGACCTGTACCCCTGAAAGAAATATTACATTATATGTTAATAAAAAAATAGAAAAAATAAATGCAGAAAAAAATAACTACATAAGCCATTATTTTCTAGGCACTGAACATGGGCCTTGATGTTCTTTTCTTTTCTAATCTTCAAAATAACCCCAAAAGTTGAGGAAGATGAGGCTCACAGGTTGGGTAGTTGCTTCAACTCTACAGCTAACAATACAAGTTTTCTTTTTAAGATACTATAAACTGATCAAAAACACCCAAACAAAAAACCCTCAAGTTTTGGAGAACTTGAAGTGCTTTGTTTTTCATAGAATTTAGAATAACAAAAACTTTCCTAGGATGTTTACAAGTTCAAGGTATATAATATCCTTCAATTCAAAAACCCTTTTAAAAATTTATGGGTAAATATAGACTGCCTTACTACTTAATTCTTCAGCTTTGGTGCAATCAATCTGAAATATAGCATATGATACTTTTAATAATAAAAATGCTATAATGAAAGGGAAATTACCAGCTATACATCTACTTTACAGAGATTTGGAGTTTGGTTAGGATAAAAATAAATTTGAAAGAATTTATACAAGAGTATAAATGTTTTAAAAATTGTTTTTCTTCTGATACGACAAAATACCATAATGGAGTAACAGAAGTAGTATTATCCAAAGCTAAATGATGTCAGGCTTTTAAAGAATCAGTAGGCTGTAAGGATTGGGACCTCTGTAATTATTTCAAACTGTATGAATGTTACATTATCAAACACAGGACAAGTACAGTCTTGTATAAAATGAGTGTATGAAATCAAATAATCACATCTGAAGAAATTACATACTTTCTGTATTTAAATTTTTCCACACTATCACATCTCAGCCCAGGTGGTACCAACTCTTTGCATTCACAAAATTTCATCAACGTAATCATTTTACACTTGTTAAAGCAGGCGTCAAGTAATACCAACTCGTAAAAGTTAAATATTAAATCAAATTCCAAAAGCATTGAAGTTATCTCAAAATAATATTTTTACACCCTGAAGAAATAAAAATCGGATGTGGCCATAAAAAATAGAATTATGGAAACCAATAGACTTTTAGGGATGGTTTTCTGTTCACAAAGTATAACTACTTATGCAAGACCCCAGAATGTCTTTCAATCTAGACCTCCTCCACAGGGGAAAAAAAAAATTTCTCTTGTTTCTCTTTCTTTCCCCTCCTCCTATTTTACACTTTGCCCACCAACTTTTTATATAGTCCTCACCCAAAAAGTTTATAATAAAAAATAGATTTATGCCATTATCAGGAACAGTGTACCCTAAGATTTGTATAATCCTTTGCATATTCAAGACAGCAGTAATTGAGCTTTAATAATTCATAGACCACAAACACACCCTGTTAAGATTTTCTTTTCAAACACTACTGTTCCCACTCTCGGGACCCCTAATGGGTATACATAAACCATACAACACAACCTTTAAAAAGGACATCTAAAAAGATGGTACGTGCTCTCCACTCTCTCCCCAGAGCCATCCTCACCTAAACCTCCCGCACACTCCCTTCTCGGGTCCCACAAGCACAACTGTCATTCAGAGGGATGGTGACTGTTAAGCGTGGGTGAGAAAGAAAGCGTACACCAGATACACAAGTGGATGGTGAAGGTTGTTAAATGCAGTCTCTCTTCTATTACCGAACTAGCTTAACCCGCTGCAAACTTTTAAGAGATTAAGTTACATTCCTCCGCAATCCCACCCTTGACAGCTGACTGCAGAGATGCCACGGAGTCGTGCACGTCCATTCCCGCCACCTCACCCGTGGCGAGCCGGCGGCCACATCCCGCGGTCAGCGAGGACCAGAGGACCAGTGCTTGGGAATGAGGGAGGGCTGGGAGAGCTCACCTTTTCCAGCTCATCGTGGAGCTCAGCCAGGCTGGGCCGGAGTAGCTTCTCGCCCAGCTGCGCTACGGTGTGCCGGTAGTGATCAATCCTGGGCACGGCGTCCATGGTGTTGTGGCCAAAGGTGCGCAGGTAGTAAGTGTTGGTGTGGGTATCATAGTAGTAGTGCTGGTGGTGCCCACTGCCGCCGCCACCGCCCGAGTGCAAGCTGCTGCCCTCGCTCAGCACTGTGTCCCCGCCGTTCTGGAAGCTCACGTTGGGCCCGTCGCCTCCGACCCCCGCCGCATCCGACAGGCTCTCGTCAGCAGATGAAGAGGCAGCCGGGTCCACGAAGTTCACGCGGAAGCGGCCCTTGGCTTCCTCGCTGCCCTTGCCTGGCCCGCTTTCGCCGCTAGCTTTCCCGTCCGCTGGGGTCTCTTTACCCCCAGCCCCGGCCCCAGGCGCCGCGGCGGCCGCAGCCCGCCCCGCGTTCTCGGAAACGAGGTCCACCTGGAAGCGGCTCTGGCTCGGGGTGGGCCCCAAGGGTCTGCCCAGTCCGTCCCCGGCCGCCGCGGCGCCCTCACCGCGGACCCCGCCGCCGCCCCGGCTCGCGGCCGCAGCATCCTCCGACACTGAGGGCACTGCCGTGCCGGGCAGATCCACCCCGGCGGCGGCGGCCAGCGCGGCAGCTGGCGGCGTCTCCCCGACACCGGCCAGCCTCGGGGCGCCGGAGGAGGGCGCCGTGGGCCCCGGTTCCATCGCCGCCCGACCCCCGGGGGACTCCGAGAGCCTGGCGGACGTCGCGGGCTGCACGCCCTCCGCGCCCCCCGCCGGCGGTGCCCGCGGCCGCAACACCAGGTGACGGAATCGCTCGCCCCTCCGCCCGCCCGCCCGCCGCCGCCGCTAGCCCGGACCGGCACAAACGCCGCCGGCAGCCGAGTCGGCGCGCGAGTACAGTGGGCGCGGGGCGGGCCCCGCTGTTTAAAGCCTCGGCGGGGCCGCAGCGGTGGCGGCTCCGGCAGCAGCACGCGGGAGGCGGGGTCGGCGGCTCCTCCGCCCCTCAGCCCGCCCACCCGCGGTCCCGCAGTGTCGCGCGGCAGACGCTCCCTCGGCGGGCCGGCCCTCTCGGGCTTCTGCCAGACCCCACGCGAGAGCTGCCTGCGCGAGGATCGCGTCCGTCCAGTCCGCGCCGGGCCTCGGGCAGCGCGAGCAGCTCGGGTAGCGCGATCAGGGAGCAGGCGCGGCGCCGTGCCGCCTCACTGCCTTCGCCGGGATCTCCGCGCCGCTACCTCCTCTTCCGTCGCCCTCCTCCCACCCCGCCACCTCCTTCCCCCGCCCCCTTTGCGGCGAAGAGGAGAGGGGCCCCCCGGCCGCCTCCCTCTCTCCCCGCCCCTGAGGCTGCACGTCAGTGGGCCGGCAGCCCAGGCCTCGGCAGCGGCGGATGGCGCCCGGCCCGGCGGGCGAACGGGCGCCCGAGTCCTGTCTCGGCGCACGCCGACTGCTGATGCGCCCGCGGCAATTGCCACCACCGCGGAGGCTTCAGGAGCTCTCTCTCTCTCCAATCTCTCTCTTCTCTTTTTCTTCTTTTTTTTAATTTTTTTTTTTTTTTTAAGTTCTGAGCTCGCAGTACTTGGGCTGAGCCGGCGAGATCTCGCGAGATGCTGCGGGGCTACAGGGCCGCTTCACCTCAGGCGTGTGGTACCCGAGGCGGTGCTAGAGCTGCCGGTCGCCCCCCGCTCCGGTGGGTGATGCCGGGGATTTTCCCGTCGGGCCCGCAGGTGCTTCCGGAGTTGGCGCCCCTAGGCGAAGTCGGCTCGCGGCAATGGCCGGCCGCGACTGCCCGCCCTTACTCCAGGCCTGAGCCTAGGGGGATCCCCGGCAGGATTTCCTTTGAGCCGCCACTGAGGCGGTCGACTCCCGGCCTGGCCGCGTTAGATTTGCATAACCAGAAACACTCCCGTGGAGATGCAGTGGGTGTGTCCACACTTCGATGACACCTTTATTTTAAAAGCTGTGATGTTTGAAGGTGAGAAGGGAGCTAAGTTGTGATACCGTATCGTTTCAAGACGATTCTTAACTTGAGGCATTTCCAAAAATGATGGGAAGCTCAGCTCAGAAGCGAATACACAGCAGTAACCGTAGAGCCCTGACTAACCGTGGAGCACTAACCGGGAACTTTCGGCGTGGTTTAGGTTGTGAAGAAGTCCTGTTTTCCTCCTCTTCTCTGCAGACCTGTTTTCTCTTCTGTGAAATGTGGGGGAATATAGTGATTTTGCAACTTTCTTAGCAGCAGAATCTATTTTTAAACTAAATTCTATCCACAGCTCCACATAAAAGCAGATAACGACAACGAACTGTTTTTTCCATCACTCGTCTTTTATTTATTTGTATTTATGTATTTTAAAATTTTATTTCCGGGGATAAGCACCCTCCTTTGTTGAACCCTGGAAGTATGACCCAAGAGCCCTAGAGTTCGCAGAATTATTTGGAAATGCTGTGAAGAAAGTTGCAACCAGACAATTTTCAAGAAATTGTGATAGCCATGATCTTAGTTGACCTTGGCAACTTTTCGTCTAAATTTACTATTTCTGTTGTAAAAATGGAGAGGGGAAGGAACCACGCTCCGATCATGTAGCCATGGTTTTTAAAGTCCCTCTTCAGCTCTAGTGATAGCAGAAAACCAGGAGAGGCCAGAAAAATCAGGTGGCCCTTTAGGCAGTACAGTTGCTACTGGGACATTGCTGCCTCTGTAGCTGATCTGTGTGGTACCGTAGCTAATTTGGTAGCTGTTGAAATTCAACGTTCATTGAGCTGAACAAACGGAAAGCACTTACCATGAGGTGCTCTGTATTTTGGGGATATGGCAATGAGCAAAGCAGACAGTGGCTTCTCTCATGGAAATCCTAGTCTAGTTGCGGAGAGAGAGGCAATAAAGTTAAATGGATACAATAGATAGTGTTGCTAGTAGCGCGGAGGAAGGAGAATGGGATATGTGTGTGAGATGGAGGTGGCAAAATTTGTCATGGAAGGGCCCCACTGAGAAGGTGACATTTGAGTGAGGTAGTGAGAGATATGTGTATTTGGGAAAATAGTGTTCCAAGCAGAAGAAAAACAAAAACTGAAAGGTGAGAGAGCATGCCTGACTTGTTCTTGGAAGTGCATATAGGCCAGTGGGGCCTATAGACCTGCTTAAGGGATGGGGAGAATCAAGGGAAATTATGTCAGAGTTTAGGGATCGGGGGCATAAGAGACCAGAATGGACCCCTTTGGCTTTTGGAAGGACTTTGGTTTTTAATTTGAGTGAGATGATATATTAGTTTGGACTGTCCTAACACAATACCATAGACTGAGTTTAAATAATAGAAATGTATTTCCTTACAGTTCTGGAAGCTGAAAAGTCTAAACAGGGTGTGAGCATGGTCAGCTTCTGGTAAGGGCTTTCTTCCTGGCAGGCAGGCAGGCAGCTGTCTTATCACTGTGTCCTCACATGGTGGAGAGAGAAATCTGGTGTCTCTTCTTATAAGGGAACCAGTTTTGTCGGGTCAGTGCTCCACCTTTATGACCTCATTTAATCTTATTCTCCAAAAGGCACTATCTCCAATGTAGTCACATGGGTTAGGGCTTCCACATATGGATTTGGGTGGCAAGGTCACTTAACTCCTTAGCAGATGGCAAGTTATTAGAGAGTCCGAGTAGAGGAAAGGCATGATCTGACATATATTTAAAGCATCAATCTAACTGCCTTGTAAATACACAAGAATCTAAAAGGTGGGGCCAAAGAAAGAAACAAGGAGATGTGTCAAGAGGCAACTCAACAATCCAGGAAGTGATGACATGGCTTTGACCAGGATGGGTAGCAGTGAAAAGGGGTCAGGGGGCGAGGGGAGAAATGGTTGAATTCTAGGGAGGCAATAGAATTTTCTGATAGTTGTGGAGTGTAAAAGAGAATCCAAGGGTTTTCGCTTGAGTAACTGAAAGAATAGTGTTGCTATTTTCTGAGGTGGAGGAGATGCTGAATGGAGCAGGCTTGGGTAGGAGGCATATCAGGAGCTCAGTCTGAGATGTCTGTTGGAGGAAACAAATACATGTGTAGTAATAAATAGTAGTCACTCATATAAATGGGTAGTTAAAAACTGAGTAGTTCTAGGACAGACTGGAACATGGTACAATGAGAATGCAAAGGGACCAGACTTAGTGAGGGAGGAAGTGACTTTTCAGCTGAGGTCTGAAGGTTGATAACTTACAGGGGCGGTGGGGGGGCGGAGTTCAAAAAAGGGAAATATTGTGAACAAAAGCCCTCATGGACTGAACATGGCCTGACTAAGGAGCTTGCAGCCAGTTTGGTTAAAGCATAGAGCTCAAGGGGCCAGAGAGATAGGAGATGAATCTATCTATTCTAAAAGCATCTTATACAACCATTAATGGGTTTTCAGGTAGATAGAGGGGGACATGATCAGATTTAACCTCACTAAAAGTCTCTCTAGTTATATTGTGGGCAGAAGATTGGAGAGGAGCAAGAATAAGAAAGACCAGATACAATTTCAGTAATCTAGGCTTGGGAAAATAGCTAGTAGCTAACATTTATATGGAATTTATGTCCTGGATTCGGTGCTAAACTCTGCATTCATAATCTTATTTAATTCTTACAACAACACCATGAAGAAAATCATAGCATTACCTGCGTTTTACGGATGAAGAACTTGGTCAAGGAAAAAAGGTTAAGTAACTTCTCCAAGGTCACTCAGCCCAGATCAGGATTTGAATTCAGGGAGATTGCTCCACTAATCAAACTCTACGTTGTGGGGGTTACACGGGAGATGAGGAAAGGGAAAAATTTGAGAGATAACTTCAGAGGTAACTCAAAGGACTTGGAAATGGATTGCAGGAATGAAGGAGAATAAAGGATGAATTTTCTAACTTGTTTACCTGGGGTTAGATGATGGTAACATTGGTGAGAAAAAGAACATTCCAAAACTAGGTTTGGAGATGAATATGAGAAATTTGGTCAAGAGCATATTGGGCTTGAGGTACTTTTGAGACATCCAAATAGAAGAGTTAAACTATTTGGCTACATGGGTCTTGGGCTCGAAGAAGTTTGTATGACAGAGTACAAATGTGTGAGTCTTCTGCAAACAGATGATAACTGACACCATGGACATGAGTAAGATCACTCAGGGGGATGGTATAGAGCAGCACTGTACAATAGAACTTTCTGCAGTGGTGGGAATATTCTATATCTGTGTTGTCCTGTATAATAACCATGAGCCACTTGTGGCTATTGAGCACTTGAAATGCCTAGTGCAACTGAGGAACTGAATATATAATTTTATTTTCTTGAGTTTATTAAATAGTCCCATGAGCTAGTGGCTACCATATTGAACAGCATAGGTATAGAGTTCAAAGAAGGTCTAGAGTCCAGCTTTGTGTAATTCCAACATGCAAAGACTAGATAAAAGAAGGAGTGGCCTGAGAGATGAAAGGGGAACCAGATGAAGTCATTTTTGAAGTGAGATCAGCTGAGTTAAATTGGGCCAAGAGATGGAAAAAGATGAAAAGTGATAATATATTGAATGTAGTAACCTATATTAGCCAACACAATGGGAGGATAATGGGGAGGAGCAAGGGTTCCAGGAGATGGAATCAAAATGTGCATGTGAAACTTGTAGAGACACTGTCAGGAGAGGTCTCTGTTAGTTCACTGTCAGCAAACAGTTGGTGATCCGATTTACCATGTGTCAATTTGGAGACTAACCTTGAGGAGAACAGACTAGTTGTCCGTGCCATGATGGAGTCCCCCCATCATTTTGCTCACTTTCCCCTTTTGCCAAAAAGTCAGCCTGCGGCATTGTATGTGTCAATGCATTTACTAGTATGTATTGAATGTACTTAGAATTTTAGGACTAGAAGGGACTTAGGTTGTTATTCCAAGCCTCTCAGTTAACAAATACTAAAAATCCTAAAAGGAGACATAGATTATGTCTAGATCTAC